AATAATTAGCCAAAATTTTTGGAAGGACAAAGGGGACATACCATCTGGCCCTGGAGACTTGTTTGGTTGCATCGAAAAGACTGCATGACTAATTTCCTGATCTGTGACTTTCCTGGTCAGCTTCCTGTTCATCTCAACAGTGATAGTTTATGGGATTCCTTGCAAAATTCCTGCAAAGTCATCTGGTTTTTTTGAAGTAAAAAATTGTTTGAAATAGTCAATGATCTCCTATCATGTTTTCTCTTCATTCTCATGCCAATCCCCACTCCTTTTCTTTAGCACACTAATCCTATTCATTTCCCTCCTTCCAGTCACTCTTGCATGGAAGTAGCTAGTATTCTTATCCCCCACCTTTAAGCATTTTACCTTTGTTTTTTAGCTCCAATATTATTCCTCTCTTTTATAAGCATCAGCCAGTATCCTCTTAAGACCAGCCAACTTAATTTTGTAACTATTAATTTTACTGTTCTTAACCTCTTTAATTTCATTTTTAACCTGTTCTATCGGTTTCTTAGAGTTGCAAAAGCATCTTTTACTCCAATTGAGCAAATCCATTCTAACTTTTTTTATTTTATATCGAACTTTGAACAGCCTAGGCCCTGTTGATATTCTCTCCAAGCTTTCTCTATTACCTCCCCTATATCCTTTTGTTGTAACTACCTTTTATCAAATATAAACCTTTTTTTCCACCTCTTTTCCACTGGCTTGGTATCCAATACCAGTGTACAATGATCCAATGCTTCAGTTTCTACATGTATACATTTTGCCTTTTCAATCTTTTCTATCCAGCCTTTAGTTCCCAATATCCTATCTAACCTCTCTTTCACCTCTCCCTCATTCATCCAGTTATTCCTCCAGGTCCAAGGAATTTCTTCAAATCCAATATCAACCAATTCATTATTATTTATTAAGGAGTTAAAATCCTGGAACCTCACCTCAGCTCTTTGTTTACCTTTCTATTTTTCACTATTAGAGGTAATATCATTTAGATATCTCATTATAGCCCAGTACTTACCTCACACTAAGCTTCTTCTAGTTATAACTTTCCATTGTTCTCTTTTAACACCTGCATATGAGCTAGCATAGGCACATATACACCACCACTGCTTCACATTATTCAAATAACTTTTTTTCTTTGTTTCTGACAAAAACACTAATGAAGGAGAATGGAGTCTAATGACCTCCATGGGTTGGGAAACTGTCAAGGGACTCTCCACACCTCGACAGTTTCACACCATAGCCTTTATTTAGACTTTGAAACTCCATTTAGGGTGGAATCCAACCCCTCAGAGAGTTCCATCCAGTCACTATTTCGATTCTTAACTGTGATTTTTTTCCAATTTTCCTTCCATAATTGCTCCTCTTATCCTTCCCAATCCATAATCTCTACCTTCCTTTTCCCTTTCTCAGTTCTAGCAACTTCTCTATTGGTCTCAATCAGTGGTTTTCTCCTACTCACCTCTAGCACCAATCTTTTCCAAGTCTTACTTGCCATTTGATTCCCTTTAGTCCTACTTTCTACTTTCCCAACTTCCCTTTACCTTAGGTGTTATTTCACATTCCCTCCCTTATATTATCTTCCTAGCATTCTTGTCCTCATTATTCATACTCTTGACTCCATCAATCCACATCAGGTCATCTGATCCTTCCACTGTTTCCTTAACACTTTTTGCATCCTGCTGTTCTATTTGCTTCCTTTCCCTCCTGTTCCCCTTTTTCTCTACTATGTTCCTACCTCCTGCCTTACCTATTCCCTTTTTACCCCACCTCCTCTCTCCCTTCCTATCTTTAATCACTTTTGTACCCCTCTCCTCAAATACTCTCTTCTCCTTCCTACTCATCAAAACAGCATCCGTAGTCATCTCTTTCTCATAAGTTTGTTTTAGTTCCTCGTCCTTATGGAATTCATCTGTATAGGTTAACAGCAACTTATGTTCATCTCTCTTTGCATCCCTATTGTCCTGAGTCTGGTGTCTCTCTTCTTCAGCACCCCCAATCCTATTTCCATTCTATTTCTCTTATTAGGACTTCAAGAGTAGCTAGCTCTCAACCAATTTTCATACTGTGGTTCCCTCTCTATAGTAATTCCTTTTTTCACTACAATTATGTTCACTATGATCAATCATTTGACAATAAAAACAGTAATCTAGACATTTTCATATTTAAACTCAATCCACCTCTTAATGCCATTACTATTAATCATAATCCCTCTAGGTAATAGAATAGAAAGATCAATTTCAGCTAGAATTTTTGGATGTTTACCTTCCTTTCCTTCGCTCTACGGAATGATCACCTCATTTACTTTTGGAGATATGCTGCCAATCTTCCTACCTCTTCCTTCGTGACCCAGTGCAAGGGTATATTCTAGATCTGAACCCAAATTAATCTTTTACTCAGAGCTTCTTCATCCTCCTCCAAACCAGCTTTCCACTGCAGCAGAATTAACGGTTGACCATCATAAATCCAGGGCCTCCTGTTCATTACTAACTCTATATCCTTCTCCTTCTCAAAAATGAAATGGAACAAATTACGTCCAATTTTTGTTACTTTCAGATTCTTCACCTGAGACCACATACTGTTCATGAAGCTTTTGAATCCGCCAATGTTAGCTTGCTTTTCCCCTTAAACTTTGCCAACCAAGCTCAGTTTGCATTCCAGAACTCCTTCAGCCACGTCCACCTCGTCCAAACAGACACCATCTCTTTCCTCTTTGGAAAGTTTGAACCTTCTTAATATCTCTTCAATATTCTCCATAGTCCTTCCCACAGACCTAATGCTGCGATTTTCAGTATGCTTCTAGTCCAACACAGATCTGAAACCAGTGCGAGTCCTTGTAATGCCTCCCAACTAGTTCCCAGCTCTAGCTAATTCTAATTCAAAACAAACAAAACAAAAACAAGATCTAGATTAGAAGCAGAAACAACTAAGGCTAGCAAAACATGAAGAAGAAGAAAATTAAGACTAGATATGAAAACTATCACATCTTATCCAATAAGAATTGGAAAGTAGAAATAGTTATGGTTACTTTCACTAGAAATTCCAACGTTAATCCAGAGATAATGGATGAAATCGGCAAGTTTCCTTCAATGGAAAGTTTTTAACATTGGCACCTAAACACTTATTTCGAGTTTTGAAATTTTAAAAAAAGTATGGACACCCACAGACGGGGAATTTTCTCTCTCTAGGACAGAGAGAGAATTGCTCTCATAGTGAGAGACAACTAATACGTTCTTCTTCAAATGAGTTTGCAGAACCAAAAATCTGTTTTTGGAAACTATATTCTTATATGGCCTGACGATAAAAGACCATATAGGAAGACTAGTATAGATTTAGTCTCTTTAGAAATTGTTTGACCATCTCTCTCCAAAGTTGCATAGAAGAAACCCTCAACCCAAATCTGTTTCGTATGGAGATAGATAAGGAGAATCTTGAGATTAAGTCTCCCTGAAGTCTGCAAAATAACACAAAGTTCTGAAGAGAGTCTAGTGAACTAATTTTGTTATCAAAACCTTAATCTCAAGAGAGTCTAGTGAAATTCTCAAAAACCTCAGGGGAGGTTTCTGAAATTATCCCAATGATAAATGTTTTCTTACATTTTATTAAATGCACACAATGAATCAAATTAATAATACTATGTATATAAATAATGAGGAAGTCTTTTTATAATGGACAAACACAAATTTTTCTTCCATATCTTATTGGATAAAAAATAAAAAAATTCTGTGATAAATCTAATATACAGAAAAACCCATCGTAGTTTCAAAATATACAACACGATACCCTATGTTTTGAAAAAAAATTGTAAAGGTGACGGAATCTTTTAAACTTAATGGAAATGGACAAAATAACCAAAATACCCTGATATAATTAAGCAAAAGACAACTCAAAAAAATTATTTGTTTTATTCCCTAAATAGAGAGAATTAAAGATTAAGGGGTAAAACAGATATATTTGTTAAAAATTAGGTATAAATTTTTTTTTTTAGGTTCCAATAAGTCATTTCTGTTAAGTTTAATAGATTCCGTCACCTTTATAATTTAGTTCAAAACATGAGGTGTCGTGTTATACGTTTTGAAATCACGGGAGATTTTATTGTTTTTTACTCTATCCTATTACTAAACTATAGAAAAATCTGATATATAATTTTAGTGAATTATTAATTTATAATATAAATAAAATTAAAGAGCTATGTAAGGTTTTCAAAACAAAAAATATTATCTTATTATTTTATCAAAATTATTAATTTAGCTCATTAGTCTAAATCAAGATCGAAAAAATTTGTTATTTTATAGATGTTATTAATTTGTCGAGTACAAATTTAGAGAAGTTTTACTGTAACGTCGTTAGTTAATTTCATCAAAACACGTGTAATTTTCACAAAAACACACATAAGAACATAGTGTCATATTATTAGGAATACCGCCTCAACCACTAATCCACTTTAGAAATATCGAGAGGTACAATCCGAATTGCTGGAATTCATAAAAAATACCGACCCATAATCTGCATGCTTCGTTTGCCACTGAGCTGCGCTGCACGCATGGCTCCATCTAATGGCTTCTTAGGCACAAAGCAGCACAAGTTATGAAGTTTATAAGAAGCTTTAAATAAAAACCGCAGCACGCCCAGCTGGCTTTAACAACAGGGTTCCCTGTGACACGGATTGCACTCAGCCGCGCGCATGACCGTGCCTGTGCCCACGCGCCCGTGCCCATGCCCATGCCCATCCTCACGCACACCCGCGCATGACCGTACCTAGTCGCATGCACACCCGCGCATGACCGTACCTAGTCGCATGCACACCCGCGCATGACCGTACCTAGTCGCATGCGGCCGTGCCCAGTCGGCCAAGCATTCATTCCGTATTATAACCGCACATTGTGTGTTAAAGCTAACTAGCAAAGCGTTCATAGCTTGAATCTTGAACGTACGCTAGTGCCGCACGAGGTGTTAGCTTGTTGGAAAACAAGCAGCCCGTGACACTTGGCAATCTATTCTAATTTTTTGACAAATAGTGAGACCATTGCACGTTGCACAAAACATGAAACTACTGATCTATATTCCTTGTGCATTATGCTACATTACAGACAAGCCCCTTCAACCCCATAGCAAATAACTATCTACCAAGGGAAACAACGCAAAACTATCATCTAAATCAAAACATAATGCAAGAATAGGCGAAAAGAAAAGACTAATGTGTGAACTAAGGGAGCACATAACTAAACAATTACAATTGATATACAAAGATGCACACTTTTGAACGGAAGAAACAAGAATTCGAAGTGTACATCAGAGTTCCGAAAGAATTGCAGGGATATAGTGAGACAATTCTGCAGTAAGTGACTGAAACCCATTGACAAGCTGCGTGTGGAAGTCCTGGTCTTCCTCTCCAATCAATCTAAAATGCACCCGAATAGCTCGCTTGCAGACAGCCATAAATTCCAGGAGGGCAGCAATTAGTTGCTGTAATTCCTGTGAGCGCAGCCTTGTTGCAGGCTCACCAGAAAGGAAAGCTGTACATACACTCAGAACTCCGCTGTTCACCTGTAAATGCATTAATCTTTTGAGTTTAATAATGCCCCCAACTTAGAAGATCTTATTAGACCACAAGCAAATAATACAATTAAGGCAAGCATTCTTCCAGAAAGAAAATAATGCCAGGAAGCATCTGAAGCCAAGCATGTCAGAAAATTTTGAAAAGATTACAGTTAATCACAAAACAGAAGAGACCGATGAATCATTTAAAGTGTGGCCAAACTCACTTGAACAGCCACAGAGCCTTGAAGTATCCTTTGTAAACTCTGAAGCCTTGGAAGTTGATCGCCTTCAGAGCTGCGAGGTTCTTCAAGTTCATTACGTAATGCAGCAGTTCGAGTTTCAATCATTCCTATTGCATTCTCAACTGGGGAAAACTCCAGTGACTCTGACTTAGTAACCACAAGCCTATTAACTAAGGCAGGGAAGGAGCCCTCAGTCTGCAAAACAGTACGGCGCTTCCACTGGTCTTCCAATCCACCTTGGGTCTTCCCATTTTTAGTAAAAGGAGTGTCAAACAAAAAACGGTCAAAGACACGGGCACGTATGCTTCCCGTAGAAAGAGAAAATATTCTTTCCCTTCTGCTTCCGAGATCCTCATCTTCCATGACCGGATCAACAGCAGTAATCTGAAGGTAGCAAACACTAGGCTCCAACTCATCAGCTTTAACTTGTCGAGAATCCGGAATGACATGCAACGTGGTTCCACCCATTCTTGACTCGTATATATGACTAAGTTTCTCCATTATATCACCCAGCCGGACATCACGGGGTTCTCTGTAAACATACTCTTTTCTATCTAGCCTCCCAAATTTTTCACCATAGAATCCCACCCTATAGTATGTGGCATCTGTGAATGGTATAGGACTAGATTCTTGCTCAAGGATGGATTCATAGATATTGGTTAACATGGTATGGCATTTTGCTAGCTGTCCATATGACCTTCTACTTTTGTACACTGGAATCACAAGTTCTAAAATGCTTGCACAGAAATGGTAGAGCTCAGCTTGTGAGAAAAGCTTGTTTGCAAGCTGTAGATATTTTACGGCGGAGTCAACTGTAAGTTTCGAGGCACCATAGCCTTCTACCTCTGCTGCTGAGGCCTCAGAAGTTATCTCACTGCTGACCATTGGGCATATTTTGCGCAAGGCGTTGACATGTTCATTGCTCCAGACACCATCGTTCCTGCTCACGAGGGCCTAGAAATAGTTGTGAATGTTATACTAGCACCAAAACTTGGTATATTGATAGTTAGTTCCTAAATAGTGAAAACCAATCACGCTAAAAATAAGGTCCAAAATATATAATTTTTCCACAGTGGGTGCCAGCTCTTTCTCCGTTTCCTTTTTTGTTTAATTTTTTATTTACTTTTATTTTATTGCAGGTAGTTATGTCAATATATGCCACAGCATAACACCGTTTATGTTCAGTGAAGTTAAAAGGTCTGCTGGTAGCTTTGGCAAATCAAAGTGGAGGGTAGCATAGTATACCTTATTATTTTAGAGCTCAGTGGTCCTAAATAAGTTGGATAGAACTCATTGGTCCATAAAACTCCAACGTTGGACTAATAATTCCAAAGAAAAAGCATGTCTAAGGATCTTTCTTCATTTCTTTAATTTACAAACTATTTGTTTATGCATCTCAATTTCCCAAAATTGCAAGATCACTAATTATTTATTTTTGGGTGCAAAATGTTGTACCTGCACTGCCTAAACCTACATGGAAAGGTTTCAGAATTCAATCATCAGATGGAAAGTAAGTCAAATGCTGAATAAATGGAGGTCTGAAAACTCCTGGGTCCTACAGAAACACTAAATGTAGCTTTCGTAAATTATATACTTAAATTAGCTCTAATCAGATAATGTAAACCGGCAGATTAAGCAACAAAACAGTTAGAGGAAGCTGCTTGTGTTTTCTCCAAGATAGACAGAAGGAGAAAAAACCTGCATTACTACACCAGCAACCGCAACAGCACACTGCGCAGCTTCAGCCCAAGACTGCATCTCCTGATGCGCGTCACACAAATGCAGTAACCACATTATATGAAGATCTGGAACAGGAGCAAAGGCCAATGCAAGTTTGTAAAAGCCCTCTGCTGCTGCATATCGATCCACAGTCATAACAGATGCCTAAAAGATTTTTTGGTTAATACCATATATTAATAAAAATCCATCATGCATATTATATGTGGTAGGATTGATCATAATATCAAATATACCAGAAGCGCATGTTCCAAGCTAGCATCAAGAGCCAAAAGAAGACTGTCAGCAAGATATTTGACCTCAGTCCAGGACCAATGGTTCTCTGATGAATTTTGAGGAACAGAGACAAGTGAATTATCTGGAAGACCACAATCATTTAACAAGTTAGGACTCTTAGATTCATCTGCCATTTCCGTCAACGACATTCTAAGACGGCGAGCTTCACCACTTTCTTCAAGTGTTCCATCAGATTTCATCTGAGTCACTTGAACTTCAGACATCAATTCAGAAAGAGTAATAGTTAGCATGACCCTTAGCCTAGCTGTTTGCGTGAAGTAGGAGAAAGAGCTCTGCAACATGAAAAAGCTGAACTTTACTCGACATGTCAAGAAGCATATTTACTGCTGGAGCCATATAACCATCCTAAGTAAATCAGTAACTATACCCGGACAAGTATTTGTAGGCCAATAACAGCTCTTTTCCTGATATTGTCATTCCGAAAAACTGCAAGACGAAGAAGATGAAAAGCAACTTGCTTCAAGAATCGATCATTTTCCCTTGCCATTAGTGTTGCTCCATGGAGTTCAAAGACACTATTGAACACAGGGAAGAGAGCTTTCCAGAATTCCAGGGGTTGATTACGTGAGAAGACATTCATAAATATAGAAGTCAGGCAGTCAAGTTTCGCATAATCAGTTGCGATGCTGTGGGATGCAGCAGTTCTTGAAAATTTCTCAGCTATTTCCAGAACTTGAAGACTGACGGCTGCACTAAGGTTTTCTTCCCAAAGTTCCTAAAATTATGCATTTCTGTCAAGCTAGCAAATAGGAAATCCAACCGCACAACAGTATTACTAAGAGATATTATACCAGTTTTTGTCTTAGGATTGGGTGCAAAGATTCCCTCAGCGCTTGAGTAGAGGCACCAATCCTGGAAGACTGTGCCTGAGCAAGAGCTTCCCGCAAAGAATATGGCTGACTGGGTGAACTAAGCTGGGAATTGACTCTTTGCCACAAGTACCCATTTTCAGGTGTTCCCTGAGGCTGGATTAATAGAGATTCCTAAATCTTCAACCATTTACCGGCACAGACGGAAACGACAAAGAAGCAGAAGTCTTTTTTTTTGGGAGGGGGGGGGGAGGGGATGCTAAAGCTCAGATAAAACGTACTCTCACTTCGTGTCGTGCTGCCTCAGATAGATAGTGATTAATTGCTGGTGAAAGTCTTTCAGAATATTTTGGAGATGCAGGTTTTTCCTGTCCGGGACTGCGAGAACTATTGCTGATTAACATGCTATCAGCAGGTCTTCTGTGCTGCAAAATTTTTCTGGCCAATATTAGTAAACGAGAAATCAATTTCATTACCAACATTGTACACAAGAAAGTTATCTCAACCGACTAAGCAGACTAGGAAGAGGTGCTCTTGGTTGGACTGACAGCTTTAGACCATCCTCCGATGAGGAGGCAGCAAGAATAATCTGACCTCTTATAGCATATCAAACTCCATCATGTTAATTCTGTTGTCCTCAAATTCCTTGAGTTTGTCTGGATAGGAGGTTATTTGAAATAATTACTGTAGCACTTTTTGTGATGTGATGTATGTGAGATAAAAAGGTGATTGGAAATTGTGTTTATGATGTAAGTAGAAAAAAATTTGAATTTTTTTTTGCAAATCTTCCTATCCAAACAAACTCCTTATTACCAATACTCGTATCATAGTGTACAAACTAAACAAGCACAATTCATTGTGAACATTGTTAAAGAATTGTTATCACCACACATTAGATGACTAATTGAGTGTACCAGTATTAACAATTATGCTCTATTAAGAAAAGAGTAGGGCTAAAAAACGTCACGCTAAACACATACTAGAATTGAGCAAAATTATGAAGAAATAAACAACTGCACAAATTCATATTCTAACCTCAAAATGAACTAGGCCCTCCTCCAAAAGTTTGAAAAATAATCTAGTCCGAGCAATGCTTTGTTGCCATGCCTTCACAAGAGAGGCATCATCCAAATTGCGTATTATTTCCAAAATAATTATCAATACTTCACGCTTTTCTATTGCACTCAAATTGTAGAAGACAGGCATTTCATCTAAGATCTGCACAGACAAAACTTTCAAAATGAGATGGATAGCAGTTTGTTGACTTCCAAATTTCATTCAGCAAATTAAAATATTTACCATGACACCTGCAATATTATTTAAACAAGGGAAAGCAAGCTACTTAAACCTAACACATTAGAAAAGAAGGCTTCGAGTAAGAAGTCTTGAGATTGAGGGATGCATAGATATGCCTTCCAGGGCCTAAAACAGATCATAATGGCAGACAAAAAAAGTCAACTAATGACATCGAAGTCCTAGAAAAGAACTAGAGTAACACTATAATCCAGAACTTGTATACACTTAAAGCTACTGAAGCTACGAATTTAAAATCTATCCTACCTTTGAAAATTGAATCAGATAAAATCTTTGAGAAGTAGAAAGGGGAAAGGGCTAAGTAGTGCTTAAAGAATAAGCCTCCCATAGCAAGCTAGAGAAGGAAAGCAAAACAGCTTATCCAATGAGTAGCTCCATTCTAGTACTTTACACTTCGAGCTTATGAAGCCGTAGACACATAAACTGTTGGTCTGAAGCTTCTCTTTAGGACAGCATGGTTAACAAATACAGAGTTTGGGCACAGAGGAAAGAGATAAACTTCCATTTGACAGATTATTCGCCAAAATTGTTAAAGGAAGTATATGAAGTACTATATTATGAAAAACTGTAAAAATATGGTTTAAACACATAAACAGAGGGTTTCTATAGGGGGGTGGAAAGATACAGAAGAAATGTTGAACTCAGCAGCCCCTTTACACAGGATTCTAAGGTCAATAAAACTGGTAAAAGATGGAATATCAGATATTCTGATCACAGGTTCACAACAAAGCTTTGTAACCAATAATGAGGGACAATTTATAAATTATTAGGAAACATTGAGGTGGGCCCATGATCAAAATACTCAATGGGCCATCGAAAGAAAATGAACACAAAGAGGTGTTCCAAATGGCCAGTAAATGGAAACGTGGTATAGCAATGTTAATTTATTAATGTTGACACTTACCAATACGTTTTGCAATGCAATTCATACTTCTTTGCAATTTCCACATTAACACAACATGCATTTGACTTCATATCAATTAGAAATTTAGAAGCAGAAAATGGAATCATAGTGCTGACACCTGAACCCAAGCACATCTCCATGAACCAATCTAAAATTATCAGTTTTTGAACTGTAACCAATCTGTTAAGGTTAGTTAACCACATTGCACTTTTATTGGTAAAGGGGCTGGACTTCAAAAAATACGCATCCATCAACTGTCTTATGCAAACATTAAGCCCATAATAACTATGGGATGATAACAAAATGACCTAGCCAAACAGATTATATCAACAATTGCATCACATTACAAATCACATACAACCACAAAGAAACAAGAAAAAAAATTTTAACCAGGTCAAATAAAAGTAACATATTAAGAGCAATACGTTTATCATGTTAAGCTCTACAGCGTCATCCTTAGTTCAACAGTTAACTGCATTTTCTTAAATTGTTAGAGCTGGAGCTAACCCATCGGTGCAATCACCATACATTTTTTAGTTGTTTCAGTTTGTTTTTGCAGTTTTCTGTTTACTTATTGTTTCTTTTTCCTGTAATGCTTCCTTGGCTTAAATGAGGATCTTGAACAGGACAAGACCATGAGGCTAATACTAGAAAGAGTTAAATTGTGCAATATAACAGGTCTATGAGATAACATTTCTAAGCACCATTAAAGCCAACTTACCTGGCCAACAAGAGGAAAGTATAACTGGGCAATGTAGAGCTTATCTTCAGTCTTTTGGTAACGCACGTCAAATTCATGCTTGCAAAGTAGGACCACCAGAATTCTAGCTGCCTACAAGTGCACCAAAAAAAAGGATCTAGTTGTCAATGTGCAGGCCTACCGCTCGTGCATCTCAACTGAAATATGTCAACTATTGAATATCACAAAATAAATATCCAGGCAAGCAACAGGACTATACTCACCTTTGCCCGCATAGACAGATCATCATGGTCCCACGTTAGGAAAATTTCTTGTATTAGGACAGAAGAAAGGTAATTCCTGTTATAAGAAGATCAAGCTATCATTAGAATGAGGTCTGATGCAGTCAAACATGATGGCAAAGACAGAAAATTTGGGAGACAGAGGTGAGGGAAGTGGGCCACACAGGTCATGGAGACCAGACAAATGAATGGCCTATGCTCATTTTTGCCAATATGACATACTAATTCGTCAAACATGAATTTTATTTGCCACTTGAAAAGAAAAACTATCCTCTTGTCCTGTCCTGCTTGAAGTATCTGCTATGTCAAAAGAAACATTTATGATTACAATTCTCTGAAGTCAATTATTGCCAGATTAGTTCCTTCCATCCCTTCTATTGTCTTTATCTCCAAATCTAAAGCTGAAAGTTGTATAGATGAATCAGATTGAACTCAAATTCTCTGAAGTGATTTTCCAGCTTGAACTCAGTTCAATTGTTTAACGTCCATGCCAAGCTGAAAGTACAGAACCCTAATACTATATGGAAGCTAAAGATAGTTTTATACTCTACCAAACCTCAGAGGAGTTCAAAGTAAATACACTATTACAAGAATGAAGGTTCATATATAGAAGTTCCAAACAAGAAGAAAGATAGACCACTGTCGAACTTTTACCTATCTGAAGGATCTCGCCCAGGCATCTCCACGAAAAGATCATGGTCACATATAATTTGTAGAAAAGTAAGCTTGCAGTCATGCAGCACAGCTTGACAAACCCCAGAAAATTTGTCCAGGTACAAAGATACCTATGTAACATGAAAGAGACAATAACTTCAATTAATGCAGCACCAGATTGTTGAGAAACGGAAACTCTAGAAGATTAATATAAAATTGCTAGATGAGCACTGCAGCACATAAGTACAACAAACTTTAACAAGGGAACACATCTGAAGAAAATCAACTTGTCACAGTCAAAGCAGTTAAAGAAGGAAGGTTCAAACCTTCCAGTCTTATCAGCAATGTAAAAGAAGCACAACATTAGAAATTAATTTCTCAACTAACATACTATAATTAATTTTTCAACTACAACAGGATTCTGAAAAGTGATTGAACATTAGAAATTGCACGAAGTTCACACGAACTAATCTCATGCTATGTCCGATAAAATGATGGACAGAATCCTTGCACTGCTATAGGCAGCATTTTACTTCTTTAAATATGCAAAATACACTAAATATCAAGTCCCCAGAGGCCAAAAGGGCACAAATTTGTGACATAGTGCGCTTTAAAACATTTGAATTAGGACCAAAGTTCACAAATAAACTGCTCGAACTTTTTCTTCTGAACTGGTATTAATTGAGTACCAAAATTCCATCTTTTAATGGGGAAGGACTCTGCTTGAAACTGATAATACACTGCAGAATATTAAGAATGTTCAAACATCACAAAGCCATCCTAGCAACCACCCAAAGATCTGTAACTTTGCCCAATGTTGAAACTCATTCATTACTCCTTAAGATGGCATCAGAATACTGTCAAGTATCATTTTTCCTCCTCTTTCTCGGTAACAACACCACCCAACAGTACGCACATTCAAATGTCCACCCAACAGTATGCACATTCAAATGTTTCCATGAAGAAGAAAAAAAACTAAATTTGAAAGAAATATAAATAGGTAGTGAACTAACCAATTCAAAAACTTGTCGTGGCTCTATGATAGACAAGAGGTCGTAACAAAAGAAAGCCAAACTGCTGTTTAAATATTTGGCCAACCCTAAACCCTTCTTGCAACGCTCATGAACTTCCGTAATAAGGCAGTCATATAGTTGCATTATACACCTGAAAACACCTTCTTTCAATTGCATTGGTGGGACATCCTCACCTGAAGAGAAGAACAAGGAAAATGGAGTTCATTAAAAAAGAAAGAAGAAAGAATGAAATAAAGAAAATGGGGGCAGATATTAATAGTAGATTAGTTGATTCAAGATGGTAACAATCTCCAAAAGCTTTGCTAGCCAAATCAAAGTTACAACATATCCTTTGGCACACAAATATATGAAATGTGTATGATTGAGAGAAGAAGAAACATATTATGATTTCGGATCATTAAAGGCGGACCGTAAATCTGTGGCATTGATATGATCTTGCCTACATAGAAGTACCAGGTTAATGATGCACAAAAATTACAAGTACCATCTTGACAATTGTGATTGGTGAGCATGTAATCTTACATCTCGTTAAGATCTTTCTTAGAACAAATAGGGGGTTTCCATTTGCTAATTCTGGGTTGCACATTCCCCTAAATATAAAATTCTGGATATTTTGAGGAAAACATCTTATGCATGCTTCCATGTATCAAACAAAAGTAAGAATTTTAGCTTGCCTGGAGCTATCCCTCAAGTATTACAAGAGTAAAGGTCTTCATTGTAAGTTATTCAATCTTTATGTCAAATAGCACACGTTTAAAGATGCAAACATACCTGAGGGAAGATTGTGATAGTACAGTCGCGTCTGCTCCAATGCCATTGATTTCACTATCAGTTCAAGGAAAAACCAAGCCATTGCCAAAACATCATCATAAACCGGCCCTACACGGTAGCCTTTCGCCTATACAAATAGTTAATGGGTAAGAAAAAATTGGCAGTTTAGTTGTGCAGCCCAGTCACACAGAAAAAATGGCCTCTGGCCTGTTTTTGAAACTATAAACTTGTGGAATCCAACAAATTTGTTATAATGATATGTTTTTTGCACTCTTTGGCCATGGCCTGTTGGTATTCAACCACCATAAAATTGATTTTTTTTTTTTTAAAAACTGCATTATAAACCTCAGGCCATTGAATGCCTATTGTCAGGGGCTAGGTCCAATAAGCAGCAGGAAGCAAAGTATGTACCTTACTGCGAGCCAGGCTTCCCCAGACTGTAGATAAACCAGGGTATACTGGCGGCTGACGACCACCAAAATCATCAAAGGCAAAATCAACATAGTTCACTAGATAAACATTTCTTTCGGCTTCATCTACTGATTCTTGCTGCACCCTAAATACTCCATGAGAAGAAAAGGAGGAATTAAAAAGCTGTTGACCAAAATGACTTTAAGTAAAACCTATAAATTATTCACTTGTAAATATACGACCAATGAAATTTCAAATATAGCCCCAACAATGTTCTTAAAAAACACCATTCATATGCGTGACAGAAAAGTATACCTCGTCAAAATGTTAACCATAGCTCTGAAGGCAGCAACCTGGATATATGGGGAGCATAGAAAATAGAAAACATCAGAATGAAGACACATAAACCCAAAACCCAACTAAAACTGTTGAGTAAGAAAAAGAACAATGATGACAGTAAAGAACCAACAAGTATATAAATAGAGACATTTATAGAGATGGATTGTATGGAAACGTTCAAAAATAAGGGTGAACCTGGAGAGTTTCTCCACCATTGCCTATAAGATGGAGGAGCATATTTAGTATAGGATGGAGAAACTGAAGCAAGGCAGTAGAATCCACATTCTTCAAACTGTTGATAGCCTGCATGAATACTCAAAAAAAGCTTGAAATCTCATCATCTGATTTGACATGTTCATTTTCTAAACATTTTCTAATCAGCTGTTAAGCTGATAAAGAAGAACATAATTTAGCAAGTGTCAAGATTCTAAAAGATCAGTTTCCCTTGATATACACTTATTTAAGCAGAAAGGATTGCAATACAGAGGTGTTGTAACTTGTACAAGAAGTGAGAACTCGCAAATTTATCCTGCTATTAAATTTGGATTACTTTTCCTCTGGGAATGGCCCAGCAGATCTCATGAATTCAATAACGTGATATGCTATATATACAATATGCATAATAAGATTCGGAAATCTAAGTTACCATATTCACTGGGTCTCCCTTTCTGATTCTTCCATAGTAATATTCTTCTATAGAATATAAATGAATGGAACTTGAATTAACTAACATTTTTTCCCTTTTTGACTGTGTGGGTAAATATTTGCCTTGGTCCTCCGAAGTATCAAGTGAAGTTACTGCAAAATTGCTTAGACTAACTTGACTGGACTTAGCGAACTCTGCACCCACTAAAACACTTTTGATGTACTTCACACAGCAAAGGCTTCAGGAATAAGCAGAGAAATCGTGCCACACAAAAACTCTACATGCCATTGAGGTAAACAATTCATTACCAGTTGTAAAAAAGCCAGCACATGGCTATAAATATCTTGCATTTCCATAGCAACACATTGCTCTTTGACAACATTAAAATGACCTTTCTTAACAACAATGTACTCAATCACACAGGACTCTTTATCACACAAGAGGTCTGCCAATACACGTCAAGATAGCAAAGGGCTTAGTAAGAACTTTAAATGGACCTTGGTCATCTTCAGAACCACCTACTCAAATTGTCCATATGAATTGGTTCAGAGCAAGGAATTCCTGGGACTTCTTACCTTTTGGGTGTAATTTAGAGGCTCAGCTCGCAATCATGTTCTAAGGTGCAAAAAGGTCATAACCAATAGTAGGTGTTGCATCTTTTCCTTCAGTTAAATTGCTCCCGAATAAAGTATAACTGTTCAATTGATTCCTTATGGATACCAGCAAGTCTACTTTCCCCACTCTATTATACTCTGATTGCATTTGCACACATGGAACTCACAACTATCTTCTATTGAACATCTTGCAGAACCAGCTACCATTTGAGCATGACAATACAAGGCATAAAAGAATAAGGTAGGTGTGTTCACTTTTCTAAGAGAACATAATAAATTAGAACAATCAGAATACCTAGCCAACTCTATAATTGAAGAAACAACTTATCTTTGAGCACATCATAAGCCAAAATGGATTCACAAATTTTCTTTCACTTTGAAGAAATATAGCGTGCCAGATCTAGATAGCTGGATTCAGTGCTACCTCATACAAATTTCTCTTTAGTAGCACGCATTGAAGTTTGTGTATGTTTAGTTTTTCTTTTTGTGGGAGGGAAAGGAAGGAGGATGAGGAGGAGGAGGAGAAGCAGGAGAAGTTTTGTCCGTAATATGACAAAGATCGCCAGTAATTTACAGAGTTGAATTTTAAGCATAAATAAGCAATGAAAATAATCACCTCAAGTAGCTCAGATCCCCAAGGTGGACTAGTTCGAAGAGTGTGTCTGTCATACTCAAGAAAAAAATCTCTAATTCGCTCACTAATGGGGTATAATGATGAACATAGTCGTAAGCGAAGCCTGAATACATTTTTCCCATCCTCCAAGTAATCCAGTCGCTCCTACAAAATATTCAAAGGAATGAGAATTAGAAATCAAATGGTGGTTAGCCATCAAATGGATTGATTATATATATGGAAGCGGCACACACTTATTTTCAAGACAAACATGCAGAGAGAAAGAGAAGCATTGATATGCTAGACAAGAGATCAAGATTACATAGGAGACAAATGAAGATTACCTTAACAGTATCCTGAAGGTAGTGTGGAACCAACTCTCTCATTATTGGCAAAGAAACCTCAGACCTGAACCTAATTTAATCCACAGGGACAATTAACATTTGACAAGCACAAGCACTTAAAGATTTTATATGGAAAAAAAAGAGCCCAACACATCATCTGACAAGATTTCACATGATAATATAAAGCATATCACAACAAAATACACCATTTATCAAAATGAGAACACTCCAAACCCGTAGACTGTTTAATTCAAGAGCCCCGTCTGCTTTCAAACATTCAACAACACCATTTCACAGATTATAGTGTTTTAAACCGGAAATGTGACATTCATGGATTCAAAGCTGAACAGGTGCTCAGGTTTCGGAAAGAAACTGGAGATAATCCCAACACATTTCAGCGGATCTCCAAGTACCGACAGGGTCCGACCTTTTTGGAAGAATTGCAAAAACCCCTACTCAATGATTCTAAAATTTCTGAATTGTTCTCACAAACAACAGAAAAAAAAACTGTCTTCTGTCGTTCATTACATGGGGCTCTCACTCTAAACTTACCCAAAAAAATCCAGGAAGTAACATGTTTCAGCAATCCAAGATTTTTAATCACCATATCGGTTATCACAAAACCACATATGTTTCCTTCGGTCTCTATCCATGTCCTAGCCTACAATTCTTAACATACCACAACAGACTATCACATAATTGAAACTGCACATTTTCACCAGCTACACATATAATTTGATTATTCTTCATGCAGCATTCAGACAGATACCATAGACTCCCAATTCCAGATCTTTACAGCTACATATCCACTGTTCATCCAAAGCCTTTCAAGCGGAGCGTAAAAGCCCCTTCCTTGCACCAATACCCCTAAACATCCATGGCTTTGTATTTTGTTTCTTGATGTATTTGAAAGACCAATTGGCATACCAGTAAGCATTCTTTTATCAAGCTTACAAACAGCAAAAGAAGTTCCCCACGAGAATGCACGGCCAAGGAAGCATTCCGATTGTGGAGAAAAAGGTAATCAAACCTTTTATTGCATCAAAGATATTTAGAGTAAGTCTGAAATCCAACCGGACATAGTAAATTCAACAAATTTTAAATGCCAACCCATAGAATGATGCATAAGGAAAATTCTCATGACAGTTTTATTGAGATGAAATCACTTCGTGCAGTGAGTTGGGAAACAAAAGTTGGCTTTTTATTTTGTTTCTTGATGTATTTGAAAGACCAATTGGCATACCAGTAAGCATTCTTTTATCAAGCTTACAAACAGCAAAAGAAGTTCCCCACGAGAATGCACGGCCAAGGAAGCATTCCGATTGTGGAGAAAAGGTAATCAAACCTTTTATTGCATCAAAGATATTTAGAGTAAGTCTGAAATCCAACCGGACATAGTAAATTCAACAAATTTTTAATGCCAACCCATAGACTGATGCGTAAGGCAAATTCTCATGACAGTTTTATTGAGATGAAATCACTTCGTGCAGTGAGTTGGGAAACAAAAGTTGGCTTTGTATTTTGTTTCTTGATGTATTTGAAAGACCAATTGGCATACCAGTAAGCATTCTTTTATCAAGCTTACAAACAGCAAAAGAAGTTCCCCATGAGAATGCATGGCCAAGGAAGCATTCCGATTGTGGAGAAAAAGGTAATCAAACCTTTTATTAACAAAAGTGGGAAACTTGGATTTACATTGACATTTTAATAAACAGTAGCTATCCATAAATAATAATTGCACTACAGAGAATTAAGGAAGCAAGAACCACAGGAAGCCTTGAAACCCCATTTGCTACCCTTTTGGCAGTAAAGTTCTGGGTTTAGTTCTAGGGTTCTTAAAGCTGAGTTAAATAGAAGCAAGGCCATCTGTTCATTCAAATGTGGTGTGTCGCTCATATTAGATCTCTCAACAGCAATAATTTTGTAGCGCAGATACAACTGTTTAATCAAAAACTAAAAGCTTGAGATAGAGTTAAAAAAAACCATCAATTTTCAAGATATGTGCTTCAGGACCATATTTTTATGATCAAATATATCTTGCAACATAAAAGGGGCTAAGTTGCATTTGCCTTGTTGTTATAGAATTTGTAGTGAAAGTCAGCATAAAAAAGGGCCAATGAACTTCATGAATTTGACAACAAATGGAAATGACTAACGAGAAATAAAACATACTGAGCATGAGTAGATAATGGAACTGAAGCATATCCAATTACGACCTGCCAAAGGGAAAACAAATTAAAGGACAAAAGATGCCATTATAAAACAGAATAAAAGAAGTTGCTGCAAATCAGCAGTCAAGCTTAATCAAACATATAAGAGGAAAAGAAGTCCTTAAAGAGCTAGACAAATGACTGTCTCACTGGCTTTGGCGCTTCCAGTTTCGTTTGAAGGTCAACATGAAAGAATGTGAACAATAGGTGATGCAGTGGTGTCCAAATGGCTGGCAGGGAAACTTTAATCTCATCATGGTAGCAAGCAACCCTAGCTGCAATCGCAACTTGAGTATGAGCCCATTTCTGAAGTGATGCAGCTGGTTCCCTTGGATGCGTTGCCTGGAGAATAGAAAACTGCATTCAAACTCAGATTTGGTCTATTATTGAAAAGTGCTCGCTATGGCACCCCAACCTACCTCCAATGGTGGTTTGCGAATATCAACATCATCTTTTCTCAGCTCAACCCGTATAAACAGATTCCTTTTCCGACTCATGCTAACATTCAAAGGGTACACATAAAGACAATGGAAGAGCTGCAAGAAAGGCTCATTTCTTGTTGTTGTACGGAAGTCAAAAGCTTGGAACTGCAAAAAATGTGATCAAATTTCCAGTTGATATCTGATCGATGTACAAACAAAAATTAACAACTAAACCATTTAATGGTATACAAATATGAGATGAAAAGACTGAACGAATATTTTGCACACTAACTTTGTTGGCTAAAACAATACTTGGCAGAAGAAATATAATAGACAGAACCTTTTTGGCATAGGACTTTATATAATCATATAAGTAGATTATGGGGGAAATACTGTATAACATACATCGTCGGCAGCAAATTCCAAGTTACTTTGAGCAATTGATCCATTTCGAGCCATCTCTTTCCCCTGAAAGGATATTGATTTAGAGCTGGCATAGTGAGGTCCATAAGAACCATTGCTGGGGCATCTAGTTATACTGGGATCACTCAACCGGTCCACGTGTTCAACGGACCCATAGATGGTATGCCCACTTTCCAAAGTGTTTTCCCAATCAACAGAGCTGGCTTGGAGCTTTTCAATTTCCAATCTTAAGACACCCTTGACAGGTTTATGAACCTTCCGCTTTGGATCCTAGCATACGGAGATTGAGTTGAATGACAAGCATAAAACATTATATAGAAGTTTTAGTTCCAAAGAAAAACAGATGTTGAGATTATGTGATTTTAGACAAAAATCAATTGTTCAGGCCCACATGAAGCAGAAATAAAAAAAAAGGTTATTCTACAGAAATCATTCATGATTAAGCATGTTATATTATTTATACCAAATATGTCTTAGGAGATTAATTTCCACATAAAAGACAAGAAGTAGTGTCCATGCTGATCATATCATAGTAACTGCTGAATATGTAGTAAGAGGTTCAGTTTGGGGAGCAACAAATAGTAGAAAATGAGAAAAGTAGTACCAACTTTACCAAAGCCAGAACCAGAAGCGACCTTATCTTATAGCTGCCATATTGTATACTTAAGGTGAAAACTAGCATATAATTATTTAACTGGACTGTTAGCTGATATTATTTCAAGATTAACAACAGTCTGAACCCAGAAAGTGGAAGATGGTAATACCTAAGACAAGAGAGATCTTTACAATACCTGGAGTGAGTCCTCAGTATAGCCTTCTTTAACTTTATTCAAATTGGAAACTTCAACCACCACGGCACTTGAATAGTTAAGCTTCCCTTCCGAAGTAATCTTTGCGATTGGCTCCATAACGTGATCTTGAGAACCTGAACCTGACATGCTAGGAGTCAAGGGGCTGCCTGGTGAAGCAGAACCCCCAGATGGTGCAGTAATATTGCTATCAAAGAGTGGAATGATGGCCCAAGCAAAAGACTCTCTGTAAGGCATGATCCGGGACCACACTTGCAGCTTCTGTTTCTCTCTTTCAGTCAAGTGCACCTAATCAAATACAAGTTACTACTAGTGCAGCCAGAAATGTAATCCAGTACATTGTTAAAAGCCAAAACCAACTCAACAAAAAAAATAAAATAAAATTTTATCTTTTACATTAGAAATAAATCGAACTCAAGCTGGTGTAAACAAGAGTCCAGCTCTTCCTTAAGGCAAGCATTGTAAACCATGTTTTACTGCATTCATTTTATTTAGTTAACTTGTAGATGTATAAAATCTTATCAAGAATCAGGCAACAAATTGGGAATATTTTCCTCCTGCAGGTAGGGAATCTAACACATTAACCACCTTCTATGATACATTGGGTGGATGATACCCAAGATCAAACAGAAGTAGATAGACAGATCAAACCCTGTAGCAAAGAGGCAATTCCATGGCTTACAAGCTCTCACATTAACCATACTAATGGAACAAGGTAGATTTTAAGAAACATAACACTTTACTCCTACAATAAAATGCACAAAGAAAAACTCAAAGGTGAGTGGATTATAATCACTCTTGGATTCAGTCTTTAAATCAGATAGTTTTGCGATTTAGTGACATCAATTGACTCCTTCATTTGGAAGTTCATATACATCTAGCTCTTACTGGTTCTTTGCGTGAATAAACAGAAGGAGTCACCCCGTTTTCTTCTGTTGCAGGTTTCTCTAATTGAATCAGCAGACAAACTGATGCTGATGGAGCATCTAGATGGAAAATACCGCGCTGTTCAGAAGAACTGCTGGCCTGGTGACAGTTGAAATAGGTGATGAATATATCACGTAGAAACCTCAGAGGACAGAATAAGTTGGAGAGAGAGAGAGAGAGAAGAAAAGCAACTAAATTCCTAAAACATAGTCCATTCGAAGTTCGATGGATAAAGAACCATAGCTTACATCTTGCATTTCTGGAGGTGACAGTTGAAAACTGAAATCCTCTGACAGTTTTTCTCTTCTCTCCCTATTATATAAAGAAATGGTGCCATAAAACGGCTCTACAAGAAAACTTCTGAATCTCAGATGTGGAACTTCTGGAAGCTAAAAGCTCAATAAAATGAAGAAAACTAAATGAAATCCTACTAATAATAGATTAACAGTTTGGACAAATTCAAACTCACCAACAAGTCCAGCTTGAAATGATAATGATAGAACTTTCACAGCGATCTTTAGTCCACTATAACCATGTAAAAATACATGAACATCAGACACATGTTCAGAAACTAAGTGCAACTTTGTTTATGGTAAGAGCGAGTGACACACAGACAGATTTTGACACAACAGTAAAAACCTGGCATATTGAGGCAAGTGTGTTTCTGGATTTCTTTGACCAAATATCATAGATCGCTCATTCTCCCAGTCAAAAACGGGTTCATAAGCTGGTAGGGGGGATTCACCGAAATGCTGCAAAAGTAACATTTCCATAACCAAATAATGAACTAGCATATGCACACACAAAGACAAATAAATGAATCCTATAACAGCAAAACCTTCAGTAGTCGCAAATTCGATGACTCCGGGATACTAGATCCTGAAAGTTGAATCCCAGACGTACTAGGAAGTTCTTCATCAGCTGAATCTTCAGTCTTACTTTGCCTAGCATTAGCCAGATGCATTTCTGCAGACATTTCAGAATAATATCAGCAGCAATGTTGAACAGCACATTTTTCTACCCAAAAAATAATGGTATGTCTGTCAAAGTTGTAGGTACAGTAAACATAACTTGCTCCCACAGTGAGAGTCATTACTGATTAAAATCTTTTCAAAATGGTAATTTAGTTCACCAATCTTCTATACAGGTACTACTGAACTCCAGAAACATAGCATCTCATACAACCTGTTGATGAAGTTAGGTACAATTTAGCACCACCAAACATTTTAAATCAGCTATTGTATGCCATAATACTACTTCCAGCTTTCTGTGAGATGCTTGAAAACAAAAGAAAATCTTTTCATGCAAGGAGCATTCTAACAAATTATTCCCTTTTTGTGCTAAAATTTATTTCAGCTATCATCTTCATCCAACATACTAATGCTTCGGAAGTTGCTCTTCTGCTACAAAGGAACCTCTCAAAAAAGTGTTCTTGTGCACATAATGTAGTTTCCCAGTAAGATCCTTATAAGTAGGAATTGGACTATATGAATATCTCCCCTTTGGCTAGAAGTATAAAAATATAATCGAAGAATTTTTTCTACATCCTTTTAGAGCCAATAGCTGTTCTTTTGTTGTAAAGGAACTTGTCAAAAAGCTACTTTTGTGGGCATAACACAATGCCCTCGAAAAATCCTTATAAACTTGAATTATCATATATCTCCCTTTTGCCTAGGAGAACGAAAAATAATCCATGAGTTTGTCTCCAGCCTAAAAGCTGATAGTTGCTTCCTGTCCCTAAGAAAACAATAGAAATCAAGGCTTATTCTTTGCCCGACCACGGTGCTATTTTGATATATAAAAAATGAGCTGAAAGTAATTGATGATTAAGAATATTGTGAATCCTATGACCAAGTACCTAGAGATTACTCCAAAAGGACAAGGTCGGATGTTAATGACCCAACATGAGCTGGGGCAATATGAGACTACCAAGGGTGCTGTGGGGATGGGAGCAGAATTTGCAAAGATGAATTACCAAAATGAAAAGTTCCCTAAATCTCTGAGAAGCTACTGCAGATATTACTTGGACATCTATGTTCTTTACATGTACATCAAGTTTCAAGTTGGCTGCACAAAGAATCCTATATTACACAGGTATGTTTTTTATTCCGTATTGGAAGTTATGGTGTTCATTTGGTTGCTATAGTCACAGCAATTTGGATGGAGCAAAAGTAGTCTAACTGATTTATTTTCTTTTATTCTGTCAAATATATTAATGGTCCAGTTAATGGTTATTGCCCTAAACAAACTCCAAACTTGATTCCATTGTGTTACTTGAAGTCCTTGGTCATATTATTCCGACCATGTCATCCAGAGACCACCCACCAAAGAGCAAGAAAAGATTCCAACAGGGAGAAGTAAATGATATGAAAAAACAGTATTTTCTTAAATGTATTCCGGGATAATTTGGATTAGTTGTTGTCTGTCTATAGTTTATAAAGTGGGTGACTGACCCCCCCCCCCCGCGGGGCGCACGCGCATGCAATGGTTTAACGGCATGCCCTTTCCAACTTTATCAGAAGGATCTCCATCTTAACTAACTTAGGTGTAGGGGGAAAAGATAATTCATGGTAAGTACATTAAACAAATCTGTTCATCGTTTAAGCAACAAGTCACCAAAATGCTAAATGTTGAACTTGATCAAAACCTATGGTCGCAAGAACCCCTCAAGATTCAACCACATTTTCCCCAACATAGTAAGCTCATCATGCACGCCATCTATCATATCATATCAGATTTTATTTTATTTTATTTTTCTCACATCGCCTCTTCAATGGTAATTAGTATTTCCGGGAAAGTGGGAATGACAAGAGTTGTGTGAGGGGAGGGCAAGGCAATACCTGTTTCAATATCTGTATCGGGTCCTTCGAATATTTGGTTGTGGAATTGAATGGGGCCGATACTTTCATAGTGCCCGTACTTGTTATCATCTTTCACCCAGTCAGTTCGATAGCACTGAACAAGTTCATTTAAATGTGGCCACTGTTCCAAGTTTTCGTCAAGCTGATGAAAAGGGGAGGGAATTAAAGGTATGAAAAAGAATACTAAAATAAATTCTAAGAAACCCAGAAAAAATGAAGAAGCACCAAAAAAAAAAAAAGAAGTCTTACAAGGGGGTCTAACTTCAAAGAGGCAGCATAGGATTGGCGGGGAATCCTTCGGAAGCGGTGGCCATTGGATGCAGAACTCTCCATAATTTTACTGAAAAAAAAAACATAAAAAAAGGAGTCAATTAAGTGGGCCTAAAAGATCAGTGACGGAAGCATCTGGAAATGTGGATCCAAAGGAAGAAAGAAAGAGAATGAAGTGAGAATGGGGGAACGAGAAAGAGTGGTAGGGGTCACTCAAAGCTGTTGTACCGTGCGTATTACTCGTAGAGAATGAGACTGAGACTGAGGAGGTGGGTTGAAAGGGAAAGGTAGTCATTGCATTGCATTTCAACTCTTGGGGGAGAGGGAGGGCTATGGAGAAAGCACATTTCCAATTTGATTAAATAAGCGGATGCTTCCTTTCACATTTTTGCAGCACAACAAGCGAAACAAAGAGAAAGAAAGAGGGATCGCGCACCTGATGTTAATGTAGAAGACGCAGTGCTCCTCCAGGGAAAGAAGTCCGGCAGCTACTGCTCGCCCAGATCCGTGTCAATATTAATTAATATCCATAAGCATTTTGCTTTTACTTGCAATTCTTCTGCCACCTACCTCGTTAAGTTTTATTACTTACTACTTCTAGTGATTAGGGCTTCTTCGGAGTTCTTCTTCTTCTTCTTCTTCTGCTACTAGTTTGGAAAGTATAAAGCACAGTTAAGTAGTGCGATTTTGCCGGGCTGGGTGGGGTTGAGGTGGGGGAACCAGTTTTATCGCGTCGGCGTTGGCGGGGCTGGGACTGGGGTCCTTTCAGCGTCCCATTTCTTTACTCAGGGAAGAGGAGTTAGGGTGCTCCTCACTCTACTCCATTACGATTTGAGTTGAGAAATGAGAGTCAACAACAGCGGCAGCAGTTAAAAAAAGGTCAAACTCCTTCAACTTCATTTCTGACGGAAAACAAACATTACGTTGAAAGTAAGCAATTCATGCTTCATCACCAGCTGACATTTGGCTAACTGAATTAAGGAAAACAAAAAATCATAAGGGGTTGGTTTGTAATTATATAAAACTTTAGCGGTCAAATAATAAATAATCAAAATATAACGGGTCAATTTGTAAGTTTACTAAAGTTTGCAGGTTTAATTGTAAATTAGCTAAAATTTAGGGCTCACTTTGCAATCACATAAAAGTAGAGGTACAAATCATAATTTACGAGAAGATTAGGCGCCACTTGTAATTTCACAAAAATATTTTGGGTCAAATTATAATTTAGCAAAAATAGAGGGCCAATGTGTAATTTAAAAAGCATAGGGTCCAATTATAATTTAGCAAACATGAAAGATGAAAATCAATCTTTTCCAAATATAGGGGCAAAATCATATTTGCTTTTTTGATACAATTGTCAATGCAAGGAGATTAATTAACGGAGTTCAAACAATCTAGTAAGCATGTTTAGGGTTTAGGGTTTAGGGTTTAGGGTTTAGGGTTTAGGGTTTAGGGTTTAGGGTTTAGGTTTAGGGTTTAGGGTTTAGGGTTTAGGGTTTAGGGGTTAGGTAGGTTTAGGGTTTAGGGTTTAGGTTTAGGGTTTAGGGTTTAGGGGGTTTAGGGTTTAGGGTTTAGGGTTTGGGTTTAGGGTTTAGGGTTTAGGGTTTAGGGTTTAGGGTTTAGGGTTTAGGGTTTAGGGTTTAGGGTTTAGGGTTTAGGGTTTAGGGTTTAGGGTTTAGGGTTTAGGGTTTAGGGTTTAGGGTTTAGGGTTTAGGGTTTAGGGTTTAGGGTTTAGGGTTTAGGGTTTAGGGTTTAGGGTTTAGGGTTTAGGGTTTAGGGTTTAGGGTTTAGGGGGTTTAGGGTTTAGGGTTTAGGGTTTAGGGTTTAGGGGTTAGGCGTTTAGGCGTTTAGGGTTTAGGGTTTAGGGTTTAGGCGTTTAGGTTTAGGGTTTAGGGTTAGGGTTTAGGTTTAGGGTTTAGGGTTTAGGGTTTTAGGGTTTAGGGTTTAGGGTTTAGGGTTTAGGGTTTAGGGTTTAGGGTTTAGGGTTTAGGGTTTAGGGTTTAGGGTTTAGGGTTTAGGGTTTAGGGTTTAGGGTTTAGGGTTTAGGGTTTAGGGTTTAGGGTTTAGGGTTTAGGGTTTAGGGTTTAGGGTTTAGGGTTTAGGGTTTAGGGTTTAGGGTTTAGGGTTTAGGGTTGAGGGTTTAGGGTTTAGGGTTTAATCATGTTGGAAGATAAAAAAAACTAGCCCTCCAATTTGCTCGCTTCTATTTATGATTTATGCTTCTTTTTGATTGCTAGTGATTATGATTGTATAATACTTTTGATTGCCTTTGATTTATGCTTCTTTTCTATCACTAGTGTTTCTATAATACATATATACTATTTTTCCCTACAATTTAGTGCGTCATAATAAGAGAATGTCTTATTTGACCTTTATGATCTTCTTTTGTTTTAGTATAAATAAGATGTCTCGAATTCGAGACCTCTTATTTATACTCCTTCCACCTTGCTATCCAACCCGTCCTCCCCCATTTTTATGACTATTTAACATAATAGATAACTTACATTTTACTTTAATTCAAATCATGAAGAGTTAAAATACAGATTTCCAAATCATAAGTATCTAAATAGGCCTTAATAAGAAAACTTATGGCTTAAGTGCATTGGCAGGCATTATTAATTGCTAGAATTGTAGTAAATCATCTTCTTTTGGATAATACAAGAAAAACATTAAAATGTTGTGCATAGATGAGTGAGAGTAGAAATAGTTGATATCTCTACCTTTACATTTATAGTGCTATGACAGAGTTGAAAGCACCAAATTAGGCTTACATGATCAAAGTGGAAGAGAAAAGAGTACCAACAAGTAAAGTTCAGCAAGTACAAATACACCTCCAAATCACTAACAAATACCGCAACATATTGTCCAAACAGAAGGATACAGATAACTTCAAACTTGAAAATGCTTTCCAAAGATCAGACCATGTCATCTAGCTGCTTTCAATCTTCTTGACTGAAAACATCCTCCGACGCACATCTTTTTTCTTTTCGCCCTTGCACCAGAACCCCACAGACTTAACATCACAAGGAAATGAGACCAGTAGGTTGCATTGGCTGACCTCCAGGTGTCTGATCTCAGGCATCACTGCTTGCAATTCTTCCCATGACACCTCAAGCCTTTGGCAGAACTTTAAACACAACCCTTTGACATCCCATTTATGTTCTTCATCTCCCCAAAAATCTTGGTTCATCTTATTTATTCTAGAGTCCTCCATACAAAGATACTGCAGTTGTCGAAGTGACTTCGGATTAATCCATCCTGGTGTAGTTTCTCCAACATAATGCTTCAGATACAATTCCTCAATGGAAGAAGGGGGTGACAATTTATTCAATTTGCTTAAAATGTCCTCGTCTTCGCAATCACCTGCATTGATCGACAAAATCTTTAGTTTCTCTAGCTGTGCTAAGATCTCCAATTCCTGATCATTGATTGTGCTTTCTTCAGTTATGTCCATCTGCAGGACTCGAAGTTCAGTCAAAGCCTTCAGCTCTCCAAGGTGGGAACCTGCAGCATTGCCAGTGCCAGCTATCTTAAATCCGTATAGCTCCTGGAGTTTGGAAAGTCTCGAAAATCCTTGTGGTAGACACTGAAGATTTGGGCAGTTGCCAACATCCAAGATAATTAATCTTGGAAGGTTAACAATTGATGGGGAAGATTTTTGAGATCCTTACATTCTCCCAGAATCAGAACTTGAAGGCCCCATAGTTTACCGACTGAGTTTGGGATTTCTGACAATTGTGCAACATACCTGAGGCTCAAATAAGCTAGGCGTGTAAGGAAGTGATCCAATGCCAGAGATCTTTCATACAAATGCTGTCTAGTTTGACATGTGAGAAGTCCAGTACCCGGAGAGACTTGACGTTAGCCAATTCAATATTACTATTGAAACCGATGTAATCGGTTGCGGTTAAAAGTAATGCCCTGAGCTTTGAGTTTCCTCGGAGGGTCTGGAACTTTGTCTCTTTTGTGACTCCAAGTCTACGAGAGCCAGCATTAGCAATATGCTTTCCATTTCCATCGAAACTGCAGAAATCTTCTTCTCTTGCTATTTTAATTGTCAAATCTCGAACCATGTCATGCACCTTGCAGGTATAGACACTCCCATCGAAATTTCTTCTCTCAGCTACTTCAACCAGGCATCGACTGATAAGCTCAGATAAGCAGTTGAGAGCTGATTCTGTCGCAGCTTCTGTGCTCCTACAACGGACAAATCCTTCTCCTTCCCACCAGCGAATCAGTTGGTCAACATCAACTTCATGATCTTCTGGATAAATCGAGAAGCACAATATGCATTGCTTTAAGCGAGGAGGGAGCTCATCATAGCTAAGCTGCAGAGAGGCAATCACATGCTGATTACCACCAGCACGACTGCCTTCTGCACTTGTCAACTTTTCATGGAAGTTCTTGTGAATCCTCGTCCATTCACTATAACACTTGGCTTCTGATGAGAGTAAACCACCAATGGTCTTGATTGCCAGGGGAAGGCCCCACACTTTTGAACAATCTCTTTTCCTTCTTCAATTAACTTAGTATTTTCTTCATCTTCTTTAGAGATCAGTGCAACCTTGCAGAATAATTTCCAGCTCTCTTCATCATTAAGAAGTCTGGGTCGATGAATTTGGGCATCCCGAACTCCCATTTTCTTGACAACTTTCTTGATCCTTGATGTGATTATAATGCAGTTGTTGAGGCCCTCTGTCTTGGGTAGCCCACTGGAGATCGTTCCACCAACCATCTTCAATGCTCAGACATCATCTAGAACAATCAGGTAGGTTTTTTTCTGAAAGCAATTGACTGATTCTACTCAGCATGTCACCTTTAGAGATCCGCTGTCATCAGATTTGAGTTGCCTCAGCATGCTTTTCATGATTTCGGTCTCATTGACTGGTTGAGAAACTGAGACCCAAATTTTCTCTTGGAAGCGTTTCGTGAGATTCACATCTCTATAGATCATCTTTGCTAGGGTCGTTTTACCCAAACCCCCAGCCCCACGATTGCAAGGCGAAGCAATGGTTCATTATGACCAAGAATCCAGTCCCTTATTGTTGCCACATTTTCTGTTAGCCCAACGACTTCAGATTGGTCAAAAACAGGGGAACTCCAAAGTGTCTTTCTGCCATTTTTGCTCTCACTATCTGAATGCTTTGCAATGGGAGTGTAATAAGAGTTCAAATTTTCCCGCATTCTTTTAATGTGGCTGTTGATTTCTGTTAGCTTTTTCCCTGTTTTATAGCGAAAGGCCATCTCAGAAAGACAAAGGCTGAAAGAACTAGCCTTTGTTTCCGTGTAGTCTTCTCGAATCTGGCAATCAACAACCAGATCATCTGCTTCGTAGATCAGTTTCTGAAGTTCTTGCAAGGTCATCTTGACTGTTTCTTGCTTGTCTTTGAGCTTGCTTGCATCAGCGACAAATGATTGCATAAATTTCAGCTGTTCTCTCAACTCAGAGAACTGAGCTGGAAATTGAATTGCATATTTGCTTTGATCCTGGATTTCTGTACTCAAATCTTTCACAAGTTCTTGAGCAATGGCACCAGCTAGTGCACTTGGCAACGTCATGTCTGAGGAATTCATGAAGGCAAATACTTGGAAATAAGTTGAATTAAATTTACAAAAGGATGCAGAAAAGTAGACAAGCATTTACTATGATTTCTTATAATCTTGAACAATATCCAAGCCAACCTCAATAAGTAGGCCTTAATAAGGCCTTATCTATCCTTTGTTTGGTACTTTGCTGAGTTGTTTGTTTAGGGGATATTTATTTTCATCAGTACACTAAGTCATGCATGTTGGGATTCGAAGTGTACAGATTCTATGCATGCTAAAGAACGTATTATAAGCTTATCTTGCTGATTTGTCAAACACAATTCATTCAGAGCATGTAGTAAAACAGATCAAGGTTGAACTGATGTGGTGAGAGTTATCAACTTGAAGTCTTGGTGAAAGTTGTGATGTATTTGTCTAACAATGGTTTCTAAAGTTATGAAAAGCACTACCCTAAGCATCTCCTGATATTTACTACTCGTGGCCTGGGTATAGTCATGAAGCCTCAAAGGTTAAAACTTTGGATTTTCTGATTTTTGGCTATCTGGTTACTCAACTAGTTTTCCTTGGTTTTATTCCCAAGGACAAAAAAATCTTGCTGTTACAGGGAAGCTTGAAAAATCTTGTTTACTTCAACAAACATATTCAATATTTGGACATGGAATCTGGATGTTACCAGCTCTCTTCCGTTCAAATATTATAAGTGTATACAGGTCAAAAATGAACACAAAACAGTGAGACACTAGAAAACTTGAGCAGAAGGACCATTTAGTAAGACTGTTGGGTAAATAAAAAGTTATGAACACCATCACAAAAAGGTGGCTCCAATACACTTCCCCATTACCCTAGAATATACAGTATGTGTTCATCTTTAGATATTCATGTATAGTTTCTGTCTGGTCTAGAAATTTCATAGAGGACAGTCTCGGCCATCCCTTGCTTAACAAAAATAATTAAATCTCAGAAAATAAACCCAATTGACTACTTTAGTTCATGTTCTGTACCATTGACTTCATTTTATGCTTCCGAAATCAAATTACAATGTTGAGAAATTATACTAAAGATGTTACCTGACTTTCAGTTGTTTTCCCACAGAAGAAAGGTATATATCAGTTGACAGCAATTCTGGCCTCAGAAGTGGAGACAGTTGGACAATGTATATCTGTGGACACGCCGGAAGTTCAGTAAACGAAATCTTCGCTTACGATCATGCTGGAAAGCTGCTACGCCCCTTTTTCCATCAAAGAAGGTAGATCATCCGCAAAACACTAGAAGCATATTCCAGTCCAGGACCTGACAGTGAGATGTAGAAAGGTATCATGTAGAAAGAACAAACATCTGATGAAATAATCACAAGGAGAAAGAACTGCAAGCATAGCGCAAACTCACTTCAGAAAACACCAGTTGCTCTTGTGAGTAGTTCTTCAGTTGGTTATCCAAAGGATCACAAGTGCAGTGCTATGCGATGATTGAAGATGTTTATTGGATCATTAGCTTTGAAATCAAGCTATCTGAGTGATCTGGGCTCTTGTGTCAACAAAGCCTACATACAGAGGGCACTGAGACTAAACCTGTATGGAATTAGTCTAAAAACGTTACCTGACTCTGTTTTTCCCACAGAAGTAAGAATATTTTGCCTAATAAGAGTAAGCAGGGACGCTTGGACAACGATGTCTTGGTGGATACCGAAATTCAGTAAGTGAAATCGTCACTTATGATCATGCTGGAAAGCTGCTATACCCTTCCCTTCCCTCAAAGAAGGTACATCATATGCAAAACAGTAGCAACATATTCCAGTCCAGGACCTGACACTAAGTTACAGAAAGGGATCATGTAGAAAGAACAAACATCTGATGAAATAAGCACGAGGAGCAAGAACTGCAAGCGTAGCACAAATTCTACCTCAGAAAAGATCAGTAGCTCCTCCGAGTAGTTCCTCAGGTGTTTATCCGAAGGACCACGATGCAGTGCTGTGCAATGATTGAAGATGTTTATGGGATCATTAGCTTTGAATTTAAGCTATCTGAGTGACATGAGCTGTTTTGCCAACTGAGCCGGTACTGAGGGCTTTGAAACTAAACCTGGATGAAGGTTGTTGTAACCTTTATAATGCTGAAGTCTTAGTGGGAAGATTCTGTTGGCAATGTGGTAAATTAACAGACATTGATATGTTGTTTGAGCAGCCATTAATTTTTTAATCAGTGACATGATACTTCACGTGGAAGGAGTCAAGCGGATCAATCCCTTGCTCCAAATTTCTTTTCTCTGCGAGATGCTTTTCTTCCATCAAGAATAAAGCATGTCTTCCACTATCACTAGTCCCTTGCTTTCCATGGTGCAGGTCTCTCCAGGAATTTTCGCGAGAGGAACAAGAAAATGACAAGTGCTGCGTAGTCTTCAATTATTACGTGCAAAAGCAAAGCTGTACTTTTACAATTATGAAATGAGAACTTTTGGACTATTAAGGCACTGTAATATATGGTCGACTGTATTCTGCTCCAGGTGTGCTACATGATAACGAAACAACTTAGCACTTCAGATAGGACAAGTGAGAGTTTATAATCATCTTTGCTAAGTTATCAGCATAAAACCAACTTATGATATTCTTAACTTATCTCTCCAAATCCAAGCAATTGCTTCCTTATATTTGGTCAAAAAAAAACTCCTAGATTCTAGTCTTGTTCAGAAAGCTTAATACTCAAAAATGGGAACACCTGTCTTCTACTACATAGCATTCCGGATTAGGCTAATGCTTCGTAAAATCATCATTTCAAGATTCCGCATTGGTCAATTCTAGCTTTTCACGAACCTGTTTGGGTGCTTGCTAAAAATCTAGGACCAAAATGGGAACTGCAATAAGACTTCAAAGCATCTTTTTCCCACTTTTCACGTAGACCTTCTTCATCTGTTAATACCGTAGGGATTTGCTAAATATCTAATCTAGCAAAAGTTAAGCAGGTAATCTGTGAGAGGAAACAGCAATTGACACAGAAAAGAATGCAAAATACACAAACTTCTGAGTCCTGGTTCAAGCCAAAAAAAGAAAGAAAGAAGAAAGAAAAGGCTTGCTACAGAAAAAAGAAAAGTAATAGCACTAATGTTAAATAAGTACTAAATCAATCTGAGAAAGCAAAAGTTGCAACTTTTGAATGCTATGATCCTGGAAAATTTCCCAAAAGCTATCTTGATGTATCAGAAATCTTCTCCATACCAAGAGCTCTAGAGATTCCGTGGATCACAACTTCTCTGGATGAGAAAATCTCTGCTTCTGTGATCTCTACCCCATCAATTGCCAGTGATCTTGCAGAATTGTTCATAGTAACTTCAAGACTTTCATCAGATAACAGAGTTTTGAGAGTCGATTTTTCAGGCAATAAGGCCTATTCTTTTTACGTAAACCTCTGCGGCAATACATGTAAGCTCACAACTCTATCTAGCAGTAGTGCTGAGAGTGCTATGAACGTGAAATATGGTGGAGCTAAGATGGTGACGGAGCTCAAATCAGCATACTCTTGAACAACCCATCAACAACAGACCGCAATCCTTTCGCAAATTGGACAAATCCGTTAGCACTGAGAAACTGAATTATACTTGGCCATCGAACAAAGTCCTTTATCTCATTAGTACCGTTCAAACGATGACTCTGATCAAAATTTCCACAAGTGGGGGAGTGAATAAAGTTCCAATCTTGATCAATATGCTCACGAAGGTCTAATGATGAGAATGATCCGAGAACACATGCACTGAAAAGGGGCCTCCAAGAAACACATCAGGATGAGAAATCATCACATCATTGACCTCAATTTCATGCTTTTCTTCATCCTTCTTTGTAATCTTGATGATCTTATCGTGAAGTAGAGTACTGAAGCAACTGTCTTCGGGTTTCTTGAATAATTCTTGTATGGGAAGCTTTACAGGGGAAGAGTGGCACTGGAGGAGTTGCTTCATTGCCCAAGGAGGTAGATGGCCTGAAATATTGGAAATGGAGGAATCTTGGATTGCAAAAATGGTGAATTCAGGGAAAACAAAGAGCTCAGTGGAGATTTGGAGAAGGGTGGCCATGACATTGAAACAATGAGCTCTTGAAGCTTTGGAAGCATTCAATGAGAGGCCTCTTTTGGAGGCTTGGATCAACGGAGATGAATTGTGTTGGTGTCTTCATGCAGGTTTACCATGATTGCCACAATTGCAAGAACCACAGACATGCACAAGGGGAAGGGACAATGCCACCAATGTTAGCAAGAAGAATTTCTCATTTCCTGAGACAAATGAAGAGAATACTAGTGGAAAATTCTTGCTTTTCAATGTGCTTTTATCTGGGATTTTAGCAGCAGAATGAATGTAGCAATTTTCAGAAGAATCTTGCAGTTCACTGTTGGTTGTGTGTGTCCTGCTGTATTGTTAATTGTCCCCGGCGGGGAAGGAGTAGAAATTAATCACAATTACAGGGTTAAATAAATCAAGATGCCACCCTTCATGGCCTTTTAAATTGTATTTGGCTTTCAAATTGAAATGCCCGTGAATACTCGAGTGATTAGTTTTTAATCCGTAACTAGATTTTAACTGATGAGATGTTTGTCTCTCTCTTTTTTTTTCCTTCCCTAAGATCCAGAGTTTAACTGATGAGATATTAGTCAGGTGACAATGATGTTCACTCTTGAACTCTCCATTTCCCCTCCTCTATGTAAGACTTGGAGCCTTCTCATAGACCAAAATATATTTCTGTTCCTTTCCAAAACGTGAAATTCTAAAACCAATGAAATGGGCCATCATTTAGTTTATTTCTGTCGCTGCTGAAGTTGGATTGTCACTTATTATAGTAATGATTAAAACCACATCATCATGGAAAGGAAAAATCATAATTTGAAAGCACCAACTCCAACTTAGGCTTACATGATCAACATGGAAGAGAAAAAAGTAACAATTAGTAAATCAGTAAAGTTCAGCAAATACAAATACACTTCAAATCACTAACAAATGCCACAACATATTGTCCAAGAACTGGGATACAGATCACTTCAAACTTTGAAAATGCTTTCCCAAGATCGGACCATGTCATCTAGCTGCTTTCAATCTTCTTGACTGAAAAGTGAAAACATCTTCCGAAGCAAAACTTTTTTTCTTTTAGTCCCTGCATAGCTCCCACAGACTTAACAAGGAAATGAAACCAGCAAGTTGCATTGGCAGACCTCCAGGTGTCTGATCTCAGGCATTACTGATTGCAATTCTTCCCATGACACCTCAAGTCTTTGGCAGAACTTTAAACACAACCCTTTGACATCCCATTTATATTCTTCATCTCCCCAAAATTCTTGGTTCATCTTTTCTATTCCTGAGTTCTCCACAGAAAGATACTGCAGTTGTTGAAGTGACCTGGGATTAATCCATGCTGGCGTAGTTTCTCCAAGATAATGCTTCAGATACAGTTCCTCAATGGAAGAAGGGGTGACAATTTATTCAACTTGCTTAAAATGTTCTTATCTTTGCAATCACCTGCATTGATCGACAAAATCTTTAGTTTCTCTAGCTGTGCTAAGATCTCCAATTCCTGATCCTCAATAGTGCTGTCTTCAGTTATGTCTATCTGCAGGACACGAAGTTCAGTCACAGCCTTCAGCTCTGCAAGGTGGGAACCAGAAGCTTTCCCAGTACCAGCTATCTTAAATCCATACAGCTCCTGGAGTTTGGAAAGTTTCGAAAACCCTTGTGGTAGACACCGAAGACTTGGGCAATTACCAACATCCAAGATAATTAATCTTGGAAGGTTAATGATTGATGTGGGAAGCTTTTTGAGATCCTTACATTCTCCCAGAATCAGCACTTGGAGGCCCAATAATTTGCCGATTGAGTTTGGGACTTCAAGCAATTGTGCAACATCTCTGAGGCTCAAACAAACTAGGCGTTTAAGGGAAGTGATCCAGTCCCAAAGATCCTTCACAAAAACGTAGTCTAGTCTGGCATGTGAGAGGTCCAATACCCTGAGAGACTTGATTTTTGCCAACTCTGTTTTCCTATTGAAACCGATATAATGGGTTGTGGTTAGAAGTAATGCCCTGAGCTTTGAGTTTCCTCGAAGGGCAGATAACTTCGTCTCTTGGGTGACTCCAAGTCGACGGGAGCCTACATCAGCAATATGATTTCTATTTGCATCGAAGCTGCAGAAATCTTCTTCTCTTGCTATTTTAATTGTCAAATCTCGAACCATATCATGCACCTTGCAGGTATAGACGCTTCCATCATAATTTCTTCGCTGAGCTACTTCAACCAGGCACCGACTGATAAGCTCTGACAAACACTTGAGAGCTGATTCTGTCACAGTTTCTGTGCTATTGCCACTGACAAATCCTTCTCCTACCCACAAGCGAATCAGTTGGTCAGCATCCACTTCATAATTCTCAGGATAAATTAAGAAGCACAATATGCATGGCTTCAAGAAAGCAGGGAGCTCATCATAGCTTAGCTGCAGAGAGGCAATCACATGCCCATTACCCTCCGAACAATTATCTCCCATACTCGTTAACTTTTCATGAAAGGTCTCGCGGATCCTCCTCCACTTAATGGAAGACCTCTCCTCTGATGAGAGTAAACCACCGACGGTCTTGATTGCTAGGGGAAGGCCCCCACATTTTTTAACAATTTCTTTTCCTTCTTCAACTAACTTGGTGTTTTGTTCATCAACTTCAGACACGCGTGCAACTTTGCAAAACAATTTCCAGCTCTCTTCATCATTAAGATATCTGGGTTGATGAATTTGTGCATCCTGAACTCCCATATTCTTGACAACCGTCTTTATTCTTGATGTGATGATAATGCAGCTGTTGTGGCCCTCTTTCACGGGTAGCCCACCAGAGATCCGTTCCCACCAACCATCATCAGTGCTCCAAACATCATCCAGGACAATCAGGTATGCTTTGTCTGAAAGCAATCCATGAATTGTACTCAGCATGTCGCCTTTAGGGGATCCGCTGCCATCTGCATTGAGTTGCTTCAACATGCTTTTCATGATTTCGTCCTCTTTGACAGGTTGAGAAAATGAAACCCAAATTTTCTCCTGGAAGCGTCTCTTGAGGTTCACATCTCTGTAGATCATTTTTGCAAGGGTGGTTTTACCCAAACCCCCCAGCCCCACAATTGCAAGATGCAGCAGCGGTTCATTCTGACCAAGAATCCAGCCCCTTACTTTCGCCGCATCTTCTTTTAGGCCGACGACTTCAGATTGGTTGATAACCGGCGCAGTCCAACGCCTCACTGTGTCATTGCCATTTTGACTACTTGGACGCTGACTTGGGGTGTAATAAGACTTCAAGTTATCACGCGTACGTTTAATTCGGGTGTTGATTTCTGTCAGCTTCTTTCCTGTTTGATAGCGAAAATATATTTCAGAGAGATATAAAAAGAAGCCCGAAGCCCCCTTCATTTTTCGGTAATCGTCTCGAATCTTGGAATCGAGAACCAAATCATCTGCTTCATAAATTAGTTCCCTTAGTACAGGCAAGACTGTCCTGACTGTTTCTCGATTCTCTTTGAGCTTGCTTGCTTCAGAAATGAAAACCTGCATAATCTTGAGCTCTTCCTCCAAAATTCTGAACCGAGTTGGAAATTGAAGGGCATATTGGCCTTGGTCCTGGTTTGCAAGAGCTAATTCTTTCACCAGTTCTTGAGCTACCGCACTCACTAGTGCACCCTTAAGGCCAACATTTGAGCTGCGGTGCTTGATGAGATTGGAGCCACTAATGTAGTTAGTGGCTTGGAGATTTTGATGGTAGGTAAAAGAATCTCCAACTAGTGAGCTGGAGATGTTGAAAGATGAAGCTGAGTGAGAGGGGTCAGAGAAATTAAAAGAGGGTGATTCTGATACTGTAGAAATATCGCTGGGAGTCCTTTGAGCACTGAGCAGAGGTCCTCCCTGCGAAGGGTGGCTCGAACAAGCCTTTCCCAATTGTCATAAATTGCAGACATCTCTGATCAATCTGGGAGTAGTACATTAACAAGCATATTATTTGAACGCATATATATTTGTCTAGCTGCTTTAACTTAAGAAGACTAATAATACAGATTTCTTGCGAAGTTTAAACATGTGTCCGAACTGTTTATTTTACTTCTTTTTTTTTTTTTGAGTCATTACCTAGTTTTATGCGCCCTTGCATTTTAACTCCTATTGGGTCTTAAGAAATTCACACTCACCAACAGGAAAAACTTCACAATGACTAATCATAGTTCTTCATTCCCTTTTCTAGTACTACGATAGACTTCCATTTTCAGCTTTTGAAAAGCAAAACATGCCATATTTCAGGAATAGGGTAAAGTTGTTACCGGAGTTACGGTGTTTTATCCCACTGAATATAGAACGTTTCAGTTGTCAAACAATCGTGGCCTGACCACAGGAACCACCTCCCAAGGTTGTTAACCTGTCCAATGGATACTGAAGTACAAGAAATCAAATCAAAACATCATTGATATATAATCATCCTGTAAATCTGGCACGCCTTTCCATATTAGAAGAAGGTCCATGTCAAGGCATTAACAGCATGTATTCTTCAAGATCTTGAGAATAAATTGGAGAAAGGAAGCATTCCTACTTAGTCTCTTACATCCTTAGTTCATGTACAGAACAAAAAATTCAGATTAAATGAGAAGAAGCAGTCAGAACCATAACTATTACAGATATTACAGAAGCGTGAACTTACCACAGAGTACAGATCAATATCTCCAAGGAATGGTATGCTGATCACCTATGTGCTGCTTCAAACAAGCTGTTGGAATATCCTGGACTATCTTGTCAGTGGAGCCTATTTTATCTTGTATATGCAATTTCTGAAACTAGACGAAGATCGTTTATAGGTTTATGATTCAGGATTCCCAGTGGTGAAATTCCCTTTGCAGTACTGTGAATGAACAGACATGATTTTGTTGTTTTAGCTGGTATTTTCTCATAACAATATTAACTTCACGTAGAACAAGACTCTCTATTCAGTCATCATAATAGGTCAATTTCCTTTACGAGATGCTTTTTCTATCCATGAGATTAAAAGACAAAAGCATGTCTCCCACTAACGACTTGCTTTCCAAAAGTTCAGGTCTAGCCCTGAATTTTCCCCAAAGGGAATAAGAAAGTGACAAGAAACATCAGTCTTCATCACAACAATTATTCGGAAAATAGAGCTGAGATATTTCAATGAGAAAGTTTGGACCATTAGACAATCATCAACTTTGGCTCTGGTCCTATCCAAGCAAGCTGTCTTGCAATGACAACAGTAAGTGTAAGACTGACTTCACACGGAACAAATGAAAGTTCATGGTGATTGTATGCTTAATAATGCACGTTTGATCGACCCAAACTGGCACTCGAGTTATACCTCCACATTTCGAGTAAATTTTCAAAAGTGAAAATTTATAAAATTAATTCCCAAAAGGTGTGTGTTTTAGAGCCTCTTCCTAGAAGGATTAAAAAGGCATTCTCATTGTTTCCTTAGAAAGATGTATTCACACAATGAGTTGTTTCCTTAGAAGAGAGTAATCACACAATGCATTGTTTAGAGTAAAATTAATGCAATTCTCGTACCCAAACTTAGACATCGAGCAATTTTGGTACCCAAACTTTAGACGAAAGTAAATTTGGTACCTGATGTATACTAACATTTGGTATTTTTCACGAGTTTTTTCAAATTCCTACTGAAAAAAATCATTTGCTACCACGTGCCTGACAATGAAATTGTAAAAAGTTCTAATAAATAACTAAAATACGTATTAACTCGGTGGCCTGTTTAAGGACTAATAGAATATGTAAGTGACACATTTAAAAAGAAAATAACTTATGCCATAAAAATACCCAATTGAGCTAATAATCATACACGCTTAAAACTTCCCTCTCCTCTCCATACCCTCTAATAAAAAAGAAAAAAAAAAAAACCTTGATACCCTTATTTCAATCGAGCCTTTATGGATTCAACCAAGATATCATAAGAAAAAATTTACGAAATTTTCACATGTAAGAGTTTCAAACAACAATTTGAAGATCCTTCAACTAGGTATAAGCGTAAAATCTTTTTCCCAATTTTGTTGTCGAGCACGTGACAACATGTGATTTTTTTTTATTGAAGATTTGAAAAAAAAAGAAAAGAAAAGCCTGTCAAGAGTACCAAATGTGCTTAAATATTATAACATTAGGTAGTAGATTGGCTTTTATCCAAAATTTGGATACTAGAATTGTTCAAAGGTTAAAGTTTAGATACCAAAAATATATTTTACTCTTGTTTAAAAGACACATTTTGTTTCGGAATTTTCACAATTTTGGAATTTTCCTTCAAAATTATCACTATTTTAAAATTTACTCCCACAAAAACTTGCTTATTAGGCAAATTGCCAACGTATGTTTCAGGCCAAAAATAGCGTGAGGGCCTTTTGAACCTCGGCTGAAGATGTTCTATTTTTAGCGCAAGAAATCTACATTGCAGTACAAGAAAACATCTATGGAAACTGGAAAGCGCGAAATAATGAATCGATGGTTCAAGCATATGGACAAACACCTCACAGGCATTAAATCAAAGCGTCAATACGAATGTTAAAATCTTGAATTTTCAGTTATTTTGAGACACGAGTATGATTGCAATGTAGCCCAAAACGCAGTTAATTACGGCCCAGACGGATGATTGAAAAGTTCAACCCACTGCTGCCGCGAAGGCGTGAAAAGCAAAGGCAATCGCGTTTGGATCACAGGAACCAATCACGATAGAAAGGCAAGAAAGAGGTTCAAGAACCACGGCTTTGTAGGACAAAATAAAAAATCCATTACTGCCGTGTGTTAAGATCCAGACTCGCACTGCATGCAATTCATTATTTGATTTGGTAAAAACAAAAAAAAATGCAATTCTTTATCTTAACAATGACCAAAAGCATACATAGAAAAGAAAATTCCTGGGTGCGTTCTGCTAAGAGATTATTTGAAACATTATTTGAAATAATTATTATAGCACTATAATATAATGTATGCGAAATAAAAATGATTGAAAAGAAAAAAGTTGATTAAAAATGTGTATATGAGACAAAAACATAGTTAGGAAGATATGAAGTTGATTTGAAGACGTGTTTTTTATGCAGTAAAATAATATTTGAGAAAATTTTGGACCGCATGGATTACCTGTTTATAGAAGTGTTTATGAAATACGTTACTGTAACTTTTTATATTAAAAACTTGAAAAATTATTCAAAACATCTCTCACATTTTGTCAAATGAATTTTTTCATCATTCACTTTTAAATGTTAATTTTATGCTCCTTACAAATTTAAAGTCAGCAAAATTTGATCTCAATCTAGGTTTTCAACCACTTTTTAATATAAAACCACTACATCACTCACTTGTTACTATTTTTTAGGTATAAAAAAGGTCAGATACCACTTTTTTAGGGGAAAATGAATACGAATTGGGTCAAATTTTACTCTTTTTTAGGAAAATGGATATAGTTTGGATCATATTACACTTTTTTAAAGGAAAAATAAATATAGATTAAGTCATTTGTTTAACAACAAATGGCATCTAATCCTTTAATCTTAAAAAAAATGATCATGTGTAAGTCACATAATGGATTCAGGGTAAAAAAAATGGTTGTAAACATAGGTTGAAACTAAATTTTGCTGACTTTAATTTGTAAGAGATGCAAAAGTAACATTTTAAAAGTGAAGAATAAAATTTTCATTTGGAAAAAAATGTGAAAAACATTTTGAACAACAACTTTCCTTAAAAACTTTCACTCTATAAATGTATTTTGAGATATTTTTAGAATTTAAAAACTTTATTGATATTTTTAAAAAAAAAAATTATCCTTCCTAACACAACCATCCACCATCTCTCTCCACCCACTCTCCTAGTAATACCACCCCCCACCTCTACTCCCCTTTCTTAGAAGCACAATCTTGCACTGCTACTCCCCATCTCCTTAGTTTTCCCTTTTCTCTTTGCCTTCCCTCCTCCTCTCTCCTCTCTCTTTCTCTTTCCTTTCTTTCCCCTCCTTCCTCCCTTCACCATCCTTGTACCCCTTCCCCTTCTTTACGCAACCAGATCTTATCCTCTTAACCAGATTTGGACAATGCGATTTCTTTTCTTTCCTCCCCATCCTTTTCCCTTCCTCCCCTCCCCTCCCCTCCTCTTTCCCTACCTCCTTTCTCTCTAGCCTCCTCTCCAACCTCCCAGTAACTAGATTGGTCCTAAAGACAGAAGGGAGAGGAGGAGAAGAGAGAAAGAAAGGGGAAGAGAGAAGAAGAATAAAAGGAAAGAGAGAAAAAAGGAAAAAGAAGGGGATAGTAGCAACAGAAGGTGGGAAGTAATGGCAAGAGTGGTGGTAGGGGAAAAAAGGATGATATTTTATTTTTATTTATTTATCTTTTTATAGATATAAGGTAAGTTGTATTTAGGAAATTTTGTGTTATTAGGAGTATTTTTTATATTAGCATTATTGTAAATTTGCATTTGAAATACAAATTTTTTACGACAACAGGAATCCATATGCAAAGTCAAGCTATCCAAACATAATTTCTATAGTAATTTTATCTATCTCAATTAAGATGTAATTTCCCTTACATAAACAAACCAAGCAACTATTTTTTTGGATAAAACAGAAGTCAGTATTATTAATAAATTAGTTGAAAATCTTCTAGTATGATTTGGTGCACTAATGACAGAAAGTATATAGAACATGTCACGGATATATCTGATCTGAAATAAATTATTAGATTTAATAGAGTTACAAAATAAGAAAGGCTACACTATAAATCACAAACCATTAAATCTAACCAATTGCATAAGCTACTCTATAAATATATGTACATGTCTATTCTCTCATAGCTACTGTCCAACTGATTTAAGTTCAAAACTAATGCTAAGATCTGACAAAAAAATCTAATAAATTCCAAATCTAACATATAGATCTGAAAGAACATTTAAATCTGAGGAAAATAATAAAAAACTAAACAAAACCTCCACTAAAATAGTCTATGAGAGAAGAAATTCTCACTAATAAATATTTGGAGAGACAAAATTCTCACTAGAATACTCTATGAAAGACTTTATTAATCATAAAATAAAAATATAGGAAGACGAAAAGAGACCTTAGTTTGAGACCAAAATCTCCCTCCAATACAAGAAGGTGGAAAGAAGGTTGAGAATAGAAAAAAAAAAAATAGAGAGAACAAATAGGTAGAGAGAGAATTACAAATCAAGTTTCTTGAACTAGAAATTAACAAACTGAGCAACTTGAGTTCGTATAAAATTGACCAACTTCAAACTTGAGCTTGATTAAGGTTTTATGTGTTGTTGAGCTTAAGTGTTATCAAGTTTGAGTTCAATCTTGAGCTTACTTCAACTTTTAGGAATTTGATGAGTTTGAACTTGAGCTCTTATAGCTTGAGATAGGGTTCAATTAGTGTTTTAATGTGGCTAAAATTCACATCCGTTCCCCTTTATGCTCATCTTTTTAATTTAATATGAAAATGTCTTAATATCGAATACATGTAAATTTTGATTCCCAGCTAGTAATTAAAAGAACCAAACTTTTAAGTTTTCAATTAAATAAACATTACACGAAAGTACACGCAAAATATGTTCCAAGAATTGTTTTAAAATGTTACACTGAATTACCTTTTCATCTCTTACATAAGTACTTTGATTAGTTCAATATTTGATAGAACGACGACAAAATTTGCAGGCTCAAGGCCCTCCAAGTAAATTGCACACGACGTAATTCTGTTTGCGTATGGTGTAATTTACTTTAAATAACATGTAACTCTAGAATAAAATTTTATAGGTCTCACGCATGTTGTTAAAAATTAGATACAAAATGAAATTTGAACCTTATAATTTTTTTGACCAAATCTTAACCATGAACTGTCAAGAACGGTTGCAGATACGAAATGAAATCTTGGCAGTTCATGCAACCGTTCCTGCCCCTCTTCCCCATACTACAACAATCCGTTCCTACTCTCTGCCTGGTGAACCTAGTTCTGTGTCAGCGTGTCAGATCTATATCTTTTGTTGCTTAGAAGCCTTGGAGGAGCTGCTGTTACCATTTGGCACCACATTTGACACCTGTGGGGGTGGCAAGTGAGGAATAGGAGGACCTTCGGTAATTCTGCTTACTATAATACTTTGTTTCTTGACCCAAAGTTCCACGAATCCAGGCGA